TAAAAAAACTCATTCCAAATAAGATATTTTAACCCCAAACTAAAATAACTAAAAAGCGAAAAAACCAATACCCAAACGAAGCAACTAATTAAAATACACTGGATTAGCATAGCACAAAAAGCCTCTCTATCATTTACAGTAGCAGAAAAAGAAACACAAATTGAATACATAACTATACTCTTGTTTTTTGAACAGAATGCATAACTATACTCTATAATCATCAAAACTAAGCTAGACATGGTAGATCATCCCTACCTCTAGAGTAGTTGCATGAGGAACTCTCAATGCATGCATTGGATCCCGAAAGTTCCTCCTCAAGAAATCATATCCTATATTAATCACAATTCTCTGAATCAAATTCGATCCCCTCTTTGCCCTCACGTAACAATGCCCCATTATAAATGCCATCCCCGCCTCCCTCGCTTCCATCAGTTCCTGCAGCTCCTTTCTCGCGGTTATGTTCATCTGAGGACTCTCTGGCAAAACAAACCTCACTCTCTTCCTTGGAAATTCTGGGGATCTTATCTCCCTCAGTTCTGAAAAATCTTCGTCTACGTCTTCTTCGCACATCTTTATACCTTCTAGATTTGTTGAGGCAGTTCCAACAACAGTCATTTTTTCGTCACACTCCAAATCTACATTGTATTCTGGATTCTCTGACCGGATAAACTCAGCAATACTAAAAACCAAGTCTTTTTCAAACTCCACGTCGTCTTTGTGAATGTCACGATAACCATACCGTGCAATGCATCTATAAATTCGGTACTCTCTTGGGCAGATTCTTCCCACGAGGAACCTTTCCTCAGGTCTAACGTGAGGCACCGGGACAGATTTGACGCAGAGGAAGATTAAAACTTGGTGGAAAGCAGGGAGATTGGTGACGAAATGAGAGAAAATGGCTGGGATTCCGGATACAAGCTCGGTGTGTATTAAGCCAATGCCACGGACCCGAACAATTCCAAGATTTGGACCTAACCCGAGTAGCCAGTTGATGGAAACCTTGTTTTGAACATCGAACTTATATTTCTTGAGCGTGCCATGGTGCCAAACGTACATGATTGCTAGAAAGATGAAGGCGAGAGCAACAGGCACCCAAGCCCCTTCAAGGAACTTCATGAGTGAAGCTGAGAAGTAGAGCGCTTCTATGGAACCGAAGAAGAATATGAAGCAAAGGGCTAGGAAAACATTTCTGTGCCAGCAGAGGATGATAACAAGAGACATTAGGCAGGTCGTTACCAACATGACAGTTATAACTGCCAAACCTGCTCCAGAAAAGAAGTTGTATTAAAGATCATGATTCATGACTAAAAACTGATAAAATTCATAAGATTCAAACAATTGTTAAACCAAATTCTGGTAGCCTACTTGTATAGGCAAAGAACATTTTTAGTACCTGATGCGTTGCTTATGTGTTTCGTGTTTCTGAAACCAATAGTAACAGCCAAGCACAGCATCATTAAAGTCCAGTTGATGAGCGGAATGTAAATTTGGCCATGTATTTTGGATGATGTGTGGACTATTTTGACCTTTGGAAAACAACCCAGAGCAGAACACTGTTTGATGATAGAGAAAGTCCCGGTGATGATGGCTTGGCTTCCCACAACTGCTGCGAGTATGGCTATTCCCAGAACAGGCCATCGGATTTTCTCTGACATAGAAGATGAATACTTCTATTAGAAAACACTCAAATTAAAAAAATTCTTGGATTTTTGCCCTTTGTATCTGTGAGATATGCCAAGCAAAATATGAAAAGAAAGAAAGAAAAAGAAGGAACAATTAGTACCCACCAGGTACTGATACATAGAATCCAATCCGGTAGTAACTTTCATTAGAATGATGCCTGGAAAGATAAGCAGCTTGCCCCATATATGCTAGGATCAAGGATGGGTAAACCACAAAGGTGAATGCAATCTGCAATAACAATTAAATGAAAAATTGACATTCTGATTTTGAGCATTCCTGAACCAAGTAACCTATTCACTTTGAATGATACCTCTCGGCAAATGAAGAAAATAACAGTAGTTGTTTCTGTTTTAATGTGTTTGTTCTTGAAGTGATTTAACTTCTAGTGAAAAGTACATCAAGTAGTGTAACCAACAAATTCAAGATAAAATGAAAACCTCAACTAGGAAATGAAGAGTCTTCAGCTTAATATGAGCGATAAATTTTAACTAGAAGTACATGCTGAAATATGAAGACCACCACTACGCAACTAAGCGAGAGAGAGAGAGAGATGATTGCCGATTAAGTCAAATTATATGCATACTTTTGTAAGGTCAAGACTTCTAGCATAGGCCTCAAAATCATTTATATCTACTGTAAGTATTTCTAAATGAATTGTATATTCAACTTGTAAATACTACCAAGATTACAACTAATATTTATAGGAATCCTAACTCTAATCTAGAATAGGAAATACAAGCCTAATTCCATATTTACATAGCATTCCATAATTACATAGCAACATAATTCCATATTTACATAATAGTCGTAAGTTATACAAAATATTCTCACACTCCCGCTCAAACTCAAGGTGTTTGAGCAGAAAATATTGAGAGTTTGCTAAGAAAAAACTGAAACCGAGTGATAGTGTGAGTCTTGATGAAGAAGTCCACAAGTTGCAAAGCCGAGGAGACGAAAGGAAACAAGAGAGAGCCAGACTGTAGATACTGTCGGACAAAGTGACCATCAATCTTAATGTGTTTCGTCTGTTCATGGAAGACAGTATTGTGAGCAAACTGAATAGCACTGCGGTTTTCATAATAGAGAGGTCGGAAAAGACTGAGGGATATCCAAATCAGAGAGAAGGCAACGAAGCCAAATAAGCTCAGCAGTAGCATGAGTCATAGCACAGTACTTAGCTTTGGCAGTAAAGCGAGTAACAACAGTTTGTTTCTTGCTTTTCCAGGAGATCAAGGAATCGCCAAGAAACACACAGAAACCAGAGGTGGACTTACGATCACCAGCCCAATCAGCATCAGCATAGGCCACCAAGTCTAAAGAGGAAGTAGAGGACAATAGTAAACCCTGAAAGATGGTACCCCAGAGATAGCGAAGAATGCAAACCAAAGCAGCCCAATTGATAGAGCGAGGAGCAGAAACGAACTGACTAACCACATGAACAATATAAGCAAGATCAGGGCGAGTGACAGTCAAATAAACTAAACAGCCCACAAGCTCGCGATAGATCGTGGGATCATGCAGAGGAACACCATCAGTAGAGTTGAACTTCATATTAAGCTCAATAGGTGTATCAGAAACCTTAGTATCAGTAAGATCGGCACTGTGAATAACCTCATTAACATACTTGGCCTGAGACAGAAAGTAGCCTTTTAGAGAAGAGGTAACCTCAATACCAAGAAAATACCGCAATAGACCCAGATCCTTCATTTCGAAGGTGCGGAAGAGATATTGCTTGACCTCAAAGATAGCAAAAGAGTCAGAACCAATAAGGATCATATCATCCACATAGAGTAGGAAAGCAACAAAACCAGTCGAGGTATGTCTCAGAAACAAAGCATAGTCGAAAGCAGAAGGATGAAACCCAAGCTCGATAACAGCAGTCTGAAAGCAATCATACCAAGCAGGAGGAGACTGTTTTAGACCATATAGAGTACACCGAAGGTGACAAACCTATTCAGAGGAATGGTGAAGGCCAGGGGGAGGACGGATGTAAACCTCCTCATGAGATGGCCATTAAGAAAAATATTCTTAACATCTATCTAATAAAGAGGCTAAGAACGAACAACAGTGATAGAGATCAGAACAATAGTCATCTTGGCAACAGAAGCAAATATCTCCTCATAATCAATACCATACTCCTGTGAGAAACCTTGGCAACCAAACGAGCTTTGTAGCACTCAAGAGAACTATCAGAATGAATCTTGACTTTGTAGACCCATTTGTAACCAACCAGATTCTTACCAACAGGCAAAGAAACCAACTCCCAAGTACTAGTTTTCTGTAAAGCAGATAACTCATCCTCCATAGCTTGAACCCAATAAGGATCCTAACAGGCCTCCTTGTAAGACTAAAGTTCTGAAAAGAAGTGAATAACAGATAAAAAAAGTACGATAGGAAACAGAAAAACATGTATTAGACCAACCCAACCTGTTTAGAGGACGACGCGCACGAGGAGGATAACGGTGTATAGCAGGATCAGAGTCGTCAGAAGCAGAAGGAGCAGCAACAAGAGTAGAGACAATTGGTGAGACATAAAGGCAACGAGAGACAGAGTCGTAATAGCAGTAGCCTTTCTGAGTAAGACTGTAGCCCAAAAAGACACAAGATAGACCAGGCACTGAGTTTGGTCCGATCTTTACGGGAAATGAGGACAAAACAAGCAAACCCAAAAACACGCAGGAGGGAATAATTGGGAGGTTGGGAATACAGAGCCTTATAAGGGGATTAACCGGAGAGTAGGGGAGTCGGCATGCGATTAAGGAGGAAAGCAACGGTAAGAACTGCCTCACCCCAGAATGGTGCCGGAACAGAGGCAGAGAAAAGGAGAGATCGAGCTGTCTCAAGGAGATGACGGTGTTTACGCTCAGCACGACCATTTTGGGCAGGGGTATCAGTACAGGAGGTTTGGTGAATGGTGCCCAAGTTGGCCAAATACTCATAGAATTCAGTTTTAAAGTATTCCCTACCCAAATCAGACCGAAGTATTTTAATTGTGGCCCCAAACTGTATAGTGATCATAGACTAAAAGGTACAATATATCTGATAGAAATCAGATTTATGAGTCATAAGATAAATTCAAGTATAGCGGGTACAATTATCAACAAATGACACATAGTACGCAGAACCCCTTTAGTGAGAACAGGATAAGGGCCCCAAACATCAGTATAGACAAGAGAAAAAGGGCAAGCAGAAATAGAAGTACTGTTATTAAAAAGTGAAGCTGTCATTTTAACAAGTTTACATCCTCGACACTCATTAATTTGACTAGGAGAAACTTTACCTAACAATCCTAATTAAGTTAAAGACCGCAAACGATCAACAGACAAATGACCTAAACAAGAATTCCATAAATAAAACTGACTCGACTTAGAATCTAACTGAAAAGATGCAAGTGCAACAGGAGAGGTAGACAGAGGAAGATGTAGGCTTTCTACTACATAGAGATCTCCAACTCTGCGGCCGGTCCCAATCTGCTTCTTGGACACTCGATCCCGTACACAACAGACAAAAGAAGAAAAGATAACATCAAAAACCAGAAGCATCAAGCTGACTGATAGAAAGCAAGCTAACAGACAGTTGAGGAACATAAAGAACAGAGAGAATAGTAACAGCAGAAAGGGTAGAGGGTAAAATAGACCCAATAGATAGGATAGACATACCAAACCCATTAGCAGTATTAAGAATAATAGGAACAGGAGGGGAAATATAGTTTTGGAGTAAGGAAAGGTGAGGAGTCATATGATGAAAGACACTAGAATCAAAAAGCCAGACAGAGGAAGGAATACCTAAAAAGGACCCAAGCAAACCTGAATAAAGAGAGGTGAGAGCAGAGGCAAAGGAAGATGATTGAGAGGTGGACCAAAGATGCTGAAATTGGGCAATCTGGGCACTCAAGGAAGCTAAGTCAGGATCAGAAGCCGGAGCAGATGCAGTATAACCAGCAAAAGGGCAAAAGTACTCAAAACAGGACCTTAGAACTGTGGCTGAGATGACTGAGCAGACTGACGGCTCTTCTTGGGACAGTTGTACTTCCAATGACCCTTTTGATGGTAGAAAGCACACTCATCTGATGCTAAGGGCCCCTTTTTGGGCTTGGCAGAAGACTGAGGCTGAGAAGCAGATGGAGTCGCCAATAGGGGTGGCTATGCTGAGAAGACTGAAGGAAACAGAGTCTGACTAGCTGTCTTAAGACGGGTTTCCTCAGAGAGGAGCTCACAAACAATAGCATCTACAGAGGAGAGAGGAGACCGATGAAAAATGCCACCACAGATAGCCTCATACTAAGGGGAGAGAGCCGTTAAGAACTGCACCAAACAACCTTGCTCCCGAAACTCAACATAAGCGTTTAGTGCCTTGAGACTAGATGGTTCCATGAGAGCCAACTGATCCCAGAGACCTGTCATCTCAATGTAAAAGTCCTGAATAGATTGATCCCGCTGACAAGCACTCTAAATCGTTGTTTCCAACTCATACTGTTTGGCAAAGTTGGACTGTTGATACACACCCAATAAATAGTCCCACACCTTTTTAGTAGTACTGTATTTGGAAAACATCATTCCAATACAATCATAAAACTAGGTCAGAACTTGGACATTATCACAATCCCAAGTGTCACAAGAAGTCAAATATCCTTCTTGTATTGGGTCTAATGGACGAAGAACAGAACCAGAAACATAACCCCATTTTTTCTGACCAAGAAGGAAATTCTTCATAACACTAACCCAATAAGTATAATTGGCACCAGTGAGTTTACATCTGATGGCTTGAATTTTGGTGTCCGTTATTGTAATAAACTAAAGATTAATGGGTCAAAGTATACTAATAACTTAATAAGTGAGCCAAGTATACTAATAACTTAATAAATGGGCCAAACAATAATAAGGGTTTTAATAGTATTGATAACAAATCACAGAGAAAGAGATAGAGAGAACCAGAGTCGTGAGAGAGAGTCACGATGATGAACCGAGAGACAGAGCCACAAAGAGAGAGAGAACCAGAGTCAGATAATCGCGAGAGGGAGTCGCGATGATGAACCGAGATGAAGCCGATGAGGACTAAGAGCGACACGATGAAGCAGGCGCGATGATTGATCGCGATTTACAACTGATGGGTTGCGACATAACAGAGAGGCTACGGCTGAACAGAGAGATTACGGCAACTAGGGTTTCGACTCTGCAAGCTAGGGTTTCGAACCAAACTCTGATACCATGTAAGTATTTATGAATGAATTGTATATTCAACTTGTAAATAATACAAAGATTACAACCAATATGTATAGGAATCCTAACCCTAATCTAGAATAGGAAATACAAACCTAATTCCATATTTACATAGCATTCCATAATTACATAGCAACCTAATTCCATATTTACATAATAGTCGTAAGTTACACAAAATATTCTCACAAAGTCCCATCTCACAAAGATTAAGGCACTCCAGTAATCAATAGAAAACCTTACTAAGTAGAGTTTACCTTGATAGACAACTGTGAAAAATGTCCAAGATCAGCAAACATAGCTTCGGAACCTGTAAATAAACACATAGTATATGAAGGAAATATGCTTCTTGGGCAAATGGGAAAGAGCACACTTCACTTTACTCGTTTACCTGTTATACACAACAAAATCCCACCCAAGGACATCCAACCATCCTTTTGGGTCTTCTTCAAAAACTTGTACATGTAGTAAGGAGAGAGTGCTTTGTAAACATGGGGATTCCAGTGGACAATATTGTATACACCAATGGCACTGATGCATAAAAGCCACGTTATAACAATTGGTGCAAAAAGGAATCCTACTCGGTGTGTCCCGTAATGTTGGAGGGCAAACAAGAATACCAGTATGACACAAGCAACTGGGACTTCTACATCTGCAGAATTATTGAACAAAATAATCAAACAGAATATCACCAAATCTACTTTTTAGTAATATAAGAAAAGTTCAGCAAGCATTGAGAGACTGATTCAAATTGATATTGGTTTTGTAGGGACAAAAATAAGATTTTGCAGTTTTAAAAAAATCTAGAAGATGTTTTTATATTTTTAGGAGTTCTCATGCAACCTTTTTAAAGGTGAATTGTGAAAATGTGAGAGAATTTAAATACTAGCAGAAACATTCATCTCTAATATGATTGTTAAATACTGACAATTATTATAGAGAATAAATGGTTCTATAGAGCCTTAATTGACTAGATCTCTTCTTAAGGTCTGGGACTCCAATATCATCTTACTGTCCATTGAAATAATTATACAATTAAGACTCTTCTGGTCTAGGGAAATACTGTGTAATATTATTTCAATGAGTTATAGTGTATTTATTTTAAACACTAATTACACAAGTGAATGGAGATCTAAAAGTGGCCCAACTGAAGAACATTGTCTCCTGGTTCAGATCTGTCTTGTTAGACCGAGTACCTTGAAGATTACAAGTAAAATTCAAGAATCAAGATGAACCATGTACAGTTTATTTTCTAACATGAATTACCAAGGTTACCCAAAGGAATTTAGTTAATGAAATGATGAAATACGTCTGGTAAATAATTTTCCATTAATAAGGTAGACCATACATGGAAACATATAGGTGATAAGACAGTGAAATTTGTGAAAAGCAAGGTGAGCATATATGATTGCACATGTGATTTGGATCAGATAAGAGATGCATGAAACTAGTGCGTATATTTGCAAAAGAAAAAAAAATAGATCCGATGCCTTCAAGAATTGTCCACAGTGGCTTCGAAGGTGCTGATACTAGTTGATTGAGCAACCATGATAATGACTGCAATCAAGTATTCATCGAATACAATGCTTAAAAAAATAAAGCAAAAAATTTATGATCCAATAAAGTGATTTCGACATTAACAATTGTGGCAAAGCTTTACCGTTACCAAATTGTCTACTTATCTAATGATAGTTTGTTGTGTTTGCCTCAAGGGGACTCCAATCATCATTACAACATAACTTGATGACCAGTCTAATGATGGGTATGCTTCATTATTGCCACTTGAGATCCAACTATATTGATTGCACTAGAGTATTCCACTGTTCCACATTTTTTTTCCTTATTACAAATATAGAATGTTATCCACTTAAACTTTTAATTTGCATTTAAATTCTTCTTAATTAGTCTCAAAGTCATCTATTTACTTTATAATAAATAGGATGCTATCAACTTTGGTCTGCCACAGGCTAATGACCTAACTTTATTTTATTTGGTTGATAGTGATTTGACTTTGATTAAAGCGGCGTCTTTTGTCTCAGTTATATTAGGAAGGGCCCACAATAATGCATGTTTATCACGATTTGGTGCTCTCTCTTCGTCCACCTACTGCATGTCCATAGAAAAATTCTAGATTTCAAAAAAAGTCCAACTTGTGAATATATAACAGTACAGATCAAGATTTTGATGTGAAAATCAAGATTTTGATGCCTAACCATGATTTGCATCACATACATTGCAAATGCCAAAGAAAATTCCCACACTATATCATCCCCATCTCTAAACCACATATCTGGCTTTCCATTTTTTCTAATTGGTATGAAATAAATTACAAATATTACTAAAAAATTATATCAAACACAACACCCATCTATTAAAAAAATACAACAGAGTCATAAAAGCGTACGATAAGCCTAACAAACTAGACAAACCCAACAAAGACACCAAAAAAGAATACCCACCAAACACACAAAGACCCTAAACAAATATAAGGAGAAAGGGGCACAAATAAGTGGAACCGCCTAACAACGTGGTGTTGGTGGCATTATCATATCAAGCTTTGGAAAAATCAATTACTTGTCGTAAGAAGAAGTTGACAAATTTGTTAAGATAATTTTAACCCACTCAGCTAGCAGATCCATGAAGTAGCCCAAAACCGGAGGTAATTAAAAATGATTTTAGTCTCTTCAAACATTATAATTATAATTGATTGTCATACCAAACAAAGAATGAATTGGCTAATAGGTAAAAGAGTCTTACACTGATGTTGCTCTTTCGACGTTGAAAGTTCTAGCCCAGAAACCGCAGAAAACACTGAACCATACAACCAAAATCAAACAATTCCTAGTTATTAACATCCCAAGTAGGAACAATTAATGCACATAAAAGTCCAAAATTGAAATATATAGGCTAAATTCATTGTGAGTGTAGTTCGCGACGCACTAAATTTGAATCTATACGATACACTTCATTTTTAAAATCACATACCGGAAATCGCAGGTGTAAGGACTCCATCCCCAATGACCATACAAGTTCCAATCAAAGCCAAAGCAAGCAAAACCCTTTTAAGTACTCCATGCTTCTCCAATGTCAATCTTACGCTGGAACCAAAACCCTTATTGGTGGATAAAAATCCATCTTTCTTGTACTCTGATAGATCCTCATCGGCAAGCTGGCAATTGGGCAAAGTACAGACTCGGGCATGGCGGCATAGCAATGAGTACAGAGCAAAGGTCCCACCCTCACCATTGTCATCAGCTCTAAGCACAATAAACACATATTTAAGCAGTGGAATCAGAGTTAATGTCCAGAACACAAAGGACAAAACCCCATATATCTCCTCATTAGACTCTGAATGTTGAATGTCTTCTGCAAAAGTGCTTTTGTATACATACAAAGGTGAAGTGCTTAAGTCTCCATAAACAACCCCCAAGCTCTGATAAGCCAGGGTCAAGACTGTCTTCCATGATTGTTTCTGCAACAAATTGGAAACAAAGAGAAGGGTTATATTATTACGAGAAAAAGATGTGATTTTGAAGATGGGTTTTTCAACATGGAGTCCCACGTGTCTCACCTTGATTGGATTGTTACGGTTCAATCCTTCAAGATCCATCGTTACAGGGCTGTCTCAGAAGAAGAATGGAAATGGAAACCCCATTATTGCATCAATTTAAAGAGAAATGAAGAGGACCAAGATGGGTGAACACCATCCCCAGTTCAGACAATCCAAGAAGAAGATACAAATTTTGAAGATTAAAATAATTGTAGTGCGTTTTGTCTTGTGAGTGTGGAAAGAAATTCAACAACCCACCAATGGTGACTTCTCAAGAACAACTACAAGTAAAAAGAGAAGAGTGTTGGAGTGAGTGGGTTCTAAATATAGAATATAATGTTGAGCGTGCGAGTGTGGTTGGGTGTATGCAAATAAGAACATAAACGAGAGAGAGAGAGAGAGAGGGAGATATTTTCTTATGTAAAATAAGAACATAAACTATAGAGAGAGAGATATTTTCTTATGTAAAATAAGAATATAAGAGCATCTCTAATGGTAGTAGGCATTTTATCTATCTAAATATTACTATAAAGTATATATTTTATTTCGCCTATCAACTGTTTTATGTTTTTACTCCAACCATGCTCTTTATTTTAGCCATTTATCCAAATACTATTAATTTTATAGAATGCCACGTCAACAACAAAGATGGAGGGAAATGATCCTAATGATTAATACATTTTGCCTAGCGTTGAAGGCTAGCTACATGTAACTAGTGAATATGAGTTGAGCCAAAATGCCTAATCATATGCCTAGTGCATTGGAATTGAAAAAAGTGAATCACTGTAAAATTTTACAGTTTCACAATATGTTTTTCAGTTTAATTAATAAGGATAAATACTTAACGGAATCATATTTTGTAATTGCAACATTTTATAGTTTCAAAACTTGATTTTTAGTGTGATCAATATTGAAAATTATTTGCTTTAAACCCTACAAAAATTGAAAATAACATATGTTTTTTTCATTGTCATTGTTTGTTATTCTTTTTTTTTTTTTTCTTTTAGTCTATCAATATTTAGCACATTTTGCTATATTTTTTCACTTTAATTTCTTAGTTTATTCTTCTTCTTTTTTGGGCAATATTTTAGATATTCCGATGAGTTTTCGGTGATATTCTTGACGTCCAGTGAACATTCTAGACATTCCAACGACTTTCGGTAATGTTCAGAACATTCCAGCCATACTCTGGCAAATTTTTTGTGATATTCCGACAACTTTTCGGTAATGTTGAACATTCCATTGTGTCTGATGATCGTTTGATGGAAATTTAACGGTGATGGGATATGGCAAAATCTTTAAAAAAATACTTTTTTTTTTAAATAAGAATTTTTTTATAACAATTAAAAATATATATATAATTAATTAGTATGAATATTTTATTTTAAAATTAGATAAATTTTAAATTTTGTGTATATCACATATCATAAGTTCCCAAAAATTTGCCCAATTACTTTCCCACGGTTCGGAAAACACTTTCCTTGTTTCCTATTTGGTTGCTATGACTAGCCGAGCAACTCCAATACTGTTTGGTTGCATGGTTTGAGAAGTTGCCTATTTTGCTTGTTTCGCAATAATCACTTGTTTGGTTTTAATTTTTTAAAAATACTTTCTAAAAAAATTCATTTTCTTTTTTTTTGTTTTTTTTATTGAATTTTTTAATATTTTAAATAATATTTTTAATTTTTAAATATATTTAATATAAATATACTTAAAAAATATAATATTTGTAAAAAAAATTTAAAAATTTATTAACTGCCAAAAATATATTAAAAAAATACGAGAATTCAATATATTTTTTATATTCTTATGTATTTATTAATTTTTTAAAATATTTTAATTTTTAGATAAATCTAAATAAGGTACATCTAAAACAAGAAAAAAATTATTTAAAATTTTAAAAATATTTACTAAAAACAAAAAGTTCAATTTTTTAAAAATTAAATCTAAAAAATTGAAATCAAACATACTGAATATTTTTGGGTGTTCATCCTCACAAATTGGCTCTCTTTTCTCAAGGAAAAAAACAAGAAATTTTCTTAGTGGACACAGAATTGACTATAAAATTATTCAAATAAAATAATTTTAATAATATATGAAATCCATCATAAAAATACAATATTTTAGAGGAGAAGGATCCCCAGACCAGGAGTTTTTTTAAAAAAATATTCCAAAAAAAAAAATTAATTAGAGAATTGACCCACTTTTCAAATTATTTAAGAAATTAACCTACTTTTTGAAATTATATCTTTAAAATGCGATTTCGAAATTAAAATTGCATCTTGAACATGCAACTTCACCTTGAAATTGTAAATTGAAAATGATGACATGGTAAAATTGTATGTTCAACATGAGATTTCAATTGAAATCTCATTTTCAACATACGATTTCAATTTCAAAATCACATTTTCAAAATGCGATTTCAAAAGTAGGTTAGTTTTTTAAATAATTTGAAAAGCGGATCAATTCTCTAAATAGTTTCTTGTTTTGAAATATTAAAAAAAAAAACTCCCCATACCAGAGGGTGCCGTTTGAGTTTGTAAAGTCTATCATGGACTCTGTTTCAATTTCATTTGTCCGGCATTTCATGTATTTCATCCTTATAAAAAATTAAATTAATTTGAAAACTATAACTTATTTAATTTATAGCATTTATAACTAAAAAAAATATTTTTAAAAATAAATTATACATTTTTTTTAGTTAAAAACATGATAATTTGAGTAAGTTACAACTATCAGATCAATTTAATTTTTTATAAAAATAAAATACATAAAGTGAACGATTCAAATAATTAAAATAAAGTTCATAATAAATCCCACGTATCAACACAGTGCCCCAATCTAAAATTTGAACTGAAGACTGCAAGTGATTCTCCTCCTATTTGTATTTTATATGATTGATTGTGTGATAATTTTATGTTCATAAACTTATTGAAAAAACAATTGAGTTTGGGGAGAGTGGGGTAGTACGGATATTCTTTCTAACACACAACACCGTCCGATGAAAGGAACATGTCAAGGCATATAAAACAAGGGACTCAGCTGAGTCGACTCAGGCCCGCTTTATGTGATCCAAGTTCATTCCGTGGTCCCTCATCTTGAAAGCATTTTTTGAAAGCAATTTCAAAAACACAGAGTGATGAATTAATCTGACTCGTTTCTAGAATTAAGACTAGGTACATCTAATATTTTTAAACTCATGAATTGTGACCGCCTACTTATGATCAACTCTATTCTCGGAGACGTATGTAACCTTCTTTCTTATAAAGATGAAACAGAAGGGGACCCATGAAATCCAAGTGTGGAATTGTTGTATGTCTAAACCAATGATTGCGTTTAAACAAAATGAATCTCCAACTACAAGGTTCAAGGATAAACAAGAATAGTCTTGTCTTGTGAGTTTAGTTAGCTCAACAGAGTTTACTCAACTCAACTGAGTTTACTCAACTCAACTCAATCGAGAACCAATTAGTTTATAAGAGAGACACATTAGAGATGATATCAGAAAAATCTGATGATGATATGCTTTCTATGCCAATAAAGAAAGATTGGTTAAGATATATAATTAAATGGAGATGAGGAGGGAAGCCAATCGCCATACTCCAAGACTGGAGACGACTAAAACGTGAGTCCAAACAAAGCCTATGCAATCAACATCAGATGGCCCTCAATGGGTTGCTTTTTTAATTTATTTTTTTGTTCATTCATAAATTGGTTGATTTTCATTTGAATAATATTAGGGATTTTAAATATTTTATTAATATTTTTATCAAATACACACCATGTAAATCTTACATGGATATAAAATATTTGATAAAAATATTAATAAAATATTTGAACGCCTATCATTTTCCTTTCCAGTTTCCACTAATGGTTGATGTCCTTTCCTTAACCTCACTCCCTTCATTTTTCTTCTTGGCTTTGCTTCAAGTTTTTGGAATCTGTATTTGTTTGGATGAGTTAATTATACTTTTGTTCCTATAATTTGATCTTAGACTCTATAGTTTTAATTTAAATAATTTATTCTCTACATTTTTAAGTCTAATTTTAATTTGATCATTTAATTTAAATTTTTGTTAATTTTGTCTACTTATACATCTTAAGAAATTGATAAGTGTCCTAAAATTGCTAATTTTAACCTCTAATTTAGATGGAATGACCAAATTGAAACTAGAATTAAAGTGATAAGTGTCAAAAAAATTGTTAATTTTATCCTTCAATTTAGATAGAAAGACTTAATTGAACCAGACTTAAAATGTAAAAATCAAATTATTTAAATTGAAACTATAGGAACTAAAATGAAATTTGGATCAAGCTACATTAGATTTAGGATTTGTGGAAGAAAAAGAAAATGAAAAAGAAATATGTCAAAAAATTAATTTATATTTCATTCATTTTCCTTTTTATTATTTTCTTTCTGCAAATTTATTTTTGAATTATTAATCAAAAAACAACCTAAATATTATGAAGGAATCAGAAATTAAGACACTATTTGGCATCCCTTACAAAAGTGTACTTTTTTATCTTTTTTTTTTACAAAAGTGTACTTTTTTTTTTTTTTTTTTTTTTTTGTTACATAACATCTCTACTTTTTTTACATATTTTTTGATAAAAAGTTTAAAAAAAAAAAAACTTATTTAAATTATTCCAAACATCTTCTAAGAAATAAAAACATACTTTCCTTTATTGATTAAAACGATATAATTTTCTATTTTAAGATAGGGTCCAATATATATATGTTTAAAGATCACAGTAGCAGCGCTCACAGAACTATTAGAATGAGGTAAGATGGCATTAGGCTAAGCAGTGGGCAAAAGGTGTCAAGAGGTCATGCTAAGACCATCTCCAACGCTTTATCAAATCTTACATCAGATTTGAAATTTAGTAAAAAAGTTACTTTTTGCAATTTCAGCCTGTGTTTGGCAAGTGAATTTGCAGGTTTTTTTGGCTATTTTAGCCACAAAAAACAAAATAGGCTATTTTAGCCATAACAAACAAAACATCACATCCAACCCATAATCATTACATTCTTCTCTCACAAAAAAACTCAAAAAAGCCAAAAAGTCAAAAAGCCATTCCCAAACCAAGCTTTTAAGCCCAGACTAAAATAGCTAAAAAAGCTAAAAAGCCAAAAAACCAACCCACTTCCCAAACGAAGGCTCAATAGTTTTATCAAATTGGTATCAAAACGAGAATTCACTAAATCTTTCATCAAAGTGAGAACAGGGGGAAGATTTCACCAATTTACTGTGCGTGACCGTTGGGGGAGACTAACAGGTCGACCGATTCCCTTGCAAATAAGTTGGTTTAAACAGGTCAAAAGGTTCAAAGAGGT